CTTCAAACCTTCCAACACTTTCTGAGCCTTATATTCAATTTTATATCCAATTCGCATTTGTTCCACACAGAAATTTCCGAGGACATTCCATGCATCGAATACATCGATTGATGTTTGATCAGCGTTGACAAATTCAATGAATGCTTGATTTACTATCTGAAAATATATAATTCTTTTGTTAAAATTTCTTATTCATAATTATCACCTTTGGAGTATGGGAGGAGACAGATAATACAGAGATAAAAAAACAGGAATGAATGAAACTTTCCTTTCTGAAAAAATTAAATAGATATAAAAACTATTAGTTCTGTTGGTTTTTTTTTTTTGTTCAGTTATATTCCAGTAATACTTAAAATACCGTTTAAATCATTCATTTGCAAAATTTTTTCGTATTATTTGGCTTTTTTTTTAAAAAAAAAAAAAGATTTTCATAAATGCTTTAATCATTGCTAACAATATTTGATTAATTTTCATTTTTAAATTAGGAGTTGTATTATTTTGAAATATCTCAAAATTTCATCATACCTTCCAATAATTGCTTCTGTACTGTACTCCTGTATGAATTACATGTCGTGCACCCAATGCTTGCAATGATTTACTCATTGCAGTTGGATTATGCAAATGTAACATAACAAATGATAAAGTCGATCCTGTCACCTAAAATAAATATTTTCTAAAAATTATAAAAATTTCAGATTTTTTGAAAAATTTCAGATTAATTCAAATTTTGAAAAAAATCGGAAAAATCTTTAACAAGTGGTAAAAATTGTGAGCAAAAATTTGCAAATTGATAATTTTTCTTAGAAATTTATGAAAAATATAGAACTTTTCCATGTAACTCGCAGAGGGATAAAAATTCATAAATGTTTATTTTCAAATATGAAAAATTCTAGTAAAAAACATTCATCGTATCCAAAAGAGATGATGATAGTTGCCGAATATTTGATATGAATAAATTGATCGTGCATCACTTTTATAAATTAATTGAAAAATTAAAAAGTTTCGATATTAAAAAGAAACTTTTTCAGGAAATTTGAAAATTGGCTTACTCGCAAAGATTGCAAAGAATTTCACAAAAATCTAAGTTCAAGACCTTGTTTTTCTCAAAATTATTACAAAGAAAAAACTATTACAAAAAAAAAAATGTTAAAATTATATCAATTAAATTTTATTAGTTGCAAAAATTTAATACCATTTCATAATGCAAAAAACTTTAGCAATACACGAAGAAATATGCTTCAATACTTCGCAATTAACTTTATTTGTGATTTATAAATATTGAAATTTCATAAGGGATGAGATCATAAAATGAAATTTATCAATTAATATGTAAAATATAGTGAAACTTGAGCTCGATATTCTTCTCTCAACAATTACCTAATCTCAGTCTACTTCCTACTCATTAAGATAATTCCAAGGTCAGTTATTGTTTTTTTTTTTAAAAAAAAAAAAAGATGTTAGATATCAAAATGGAATTTCTAACAATCTTTAAATTAACATTGAATTAGGGAAAAAAACTGCAACTAATTAATTGAATTATTATTTATTTATGAATACAAAAATTTATTTAACCTTAACATGAAGTTCGAAAAGTTGATTTTCCCTCAATTTAAAGTAAGGCACATTTGAAAGATGAAAAAATGCTCGAAGACGTGAATCAATCGCAAATATGCGTAATAATAATCGGCTTGCGAGTTCCAATTCATTATTACCACATCTTTTCATTTCCTGCACGGTATATAGTAATTATAAGAAATTTAAAAATTCTCTTCCCTTCAATACTTTATAACATTTTCATCTTCTTAGTATTATTACTTTCTTTTTATTACCTATTTTACCTTTACCCTGTTATAAAAAGGAGCTAAAAATAGCAATTTCATCGTTACAAATAACTTGAAATAGCAAGAAAAGAAAACAACAACCTCTTTCCATACTCGTCGAATTGCGTTACTCTGTGAGGTTGTTAAATCACCCAAAATTTCAATATTTGGTTGTAACGCCTGTCTGCAAGCGTAAACAAACAAAACATAAATAATTCATGGATGAGCTCAAGGAAACAGAATATTTCAGAATAAGTTATAATATAGCACATCTAAATATATTTTGAAGGAGAAAAACAAAAATAAAACAAACAAAAAAATAGAAGAAACCTAAAATTGCTGCATGAGGATGACAGTTCTTCAAAATTGGATTCTGTTAAATTTTGCTCTATTTTTCTAAAAAATTACAATTTTTCATTTCGATCCTTCATTTGTAATTTGTTTTGATTTTTGAGCTTTCAGTTTTACTCTTTAATTACAAGTATCATTTAAAGTATTAAACTCTGAAAAGTATGAGCTTTTAAGAGTTGCCTTGTTAAAAGTGACCTCTTCTCAGAATCAAAATTAACCTATTCTCAGAGTGACATCGCGTTGAATTTGCATGTTTTTGACGACGTTGAGATGATTGAGATAGCAGCAACAAATCATTTTTAGCACCGGTATATTTAGCCGCTTGCAAAACACGTTGTGAAGTAGGAGAAGCTTCTTTCTGTACAGCAATAATTAATCCTCAAAGATTTGCATGCTTCTTTCATGCTCATCCATTCTTTTCATTTATTCATAATTTAGGTAATAGCAAAATTTCGAGAAATACTGTAACGCTTAAAAGAAATGATAGAATAAGCCTGAGCCTTAACCCTTGCCCATTTAGATAAATTATCAATTTTATGAAGCTAAAAATTCTGTAAAAACACATTACACAAATTATATAAATAATCAAAATTTCTGATTCAAAATTATTGCAATAATTTTATTCATCTTTTACATGTTTGCTTATATTTTAAATTATCTCATAAAAATATTGAAAATAGTACAAAACAAACAAATGAACAAACTTTATTACTCGTTTATCTCACTGAAGGAAAATTTAAAATAGAGGAAATTTATCACTCAAAATAATATCTTTACTGTTTTTTTTTTTTAAAAAAAGAAATCTTAGGCCATTCATAAGGAAGCAAATTGTAATCGCTTTAAAGCTCCCATGGGTAAATAAAAATCTAAATTAGCAAAAAGAAAAACTAGCATACCAAACTGACTGAGGAAGACTTTCGAGACTGATTGGTCAGGAACTCCGCTCTCTATAAATAATAGAAACTATGGTGAAAAAAAGAATTAGAAATATGTAAATGTTTTACAAGCTTCCTTTCTTAATATAAAAAGAAAAAAATTTCTGCAAAACTCTAATAATCAAAAAAATTTTTAGAAAACAGAAAACTTCTTCTAAAAAAAAAAAAAAAAA